GTGCTCCGTCATGTCTTAGGGCAGTGGCGGCTGTTACTGCTCTCCTGGACAAAGCCACTGATATTGTTTTAGATAATCCGGTGATCATATACACACCGCATGATATCAACAACATACTCTCACAAGTTCAACCAAAACACATACATACTGCAAGGCATCTCAGAATGCAATGTGCCTTGCTTATGCCACCTAATGTTACTCTTAAAAGGTGTATGGTGTTAAATCCATCTACATTGCTTCCCCTGGATTTAAAAGAGGGGAGTGGGGATGTGGGGATAGTGGGAATGGTACTTGTACTTCTGATCTTTTTGTAAATTCACTTTCACCAGATGAGTTAGCTGATGCCCAGGTACCCCATGATTGTGCAGCACTAATGGCACAAGAAACAGCAGGTTTTTTGCATGTAATTGATTCTCCATTATCTAATGCAGATTTTGAGTTTTTTGTAGATGGTTCCAGAAATGCTGATGAGAAGGATAATTTCCACACTGGATATGCTGTAGTCTCTGCACATGAGGTAATAAAAGCTGAACCACTCGCTCCTCACTGCTCTGCACAGGAGGCAGAGCTGAAGGCACTTGCTGAAGCGTGTAAAATGGCTTCTGGTAAGACTGCTAATATTTATACAGACTCTCGCAATGCTTTTGGTATAGCCCATGATTTTGTCCCTATATAGCGGGCTCGTGATTTTCTCACCTCAGCAGGAACTCCAATCAAGAACTCTGAAGCCGTGAGTGCACTTATGGACGCTATCCTTCTACACACTCAAGTAGGCATCATCAAGGTGGCAGCTCACGTGAAGATCACAGATGAAATCTCAAGAGGAAACCACAAAGCAGACAAAGCTGCCAAGCAAGCAGCAATCCAAGTTCATCCCTCTACAGGTAATACCTTCCTACAAGTTGTTCTTACAGATAACGCCGTTGACTACAATATACTGTTGAGCTTACAAAGACAGGCAAGCAAGGAAGAACATGACCTCTGGAGGAAATGATGCAGAACCTGATGATGACAGAATGTGGAGGAAAGGTAAAAGACTGTGTTTGCCATGAGTTTTGTACCCTATGATGGCCCAGATTGCCCATGGACCTACACATCTATCCAAGATGCACATGAACAGCATAGTAAACACCCATTGGGTAGCACCAGGATTTACTGTTGTAGCAGCTAAACACAACCAAGCTTGCATGATTTGTGCTAGAAACAATCCAGGATAGGCTGTCAAAACACCAAGTAAGCACACACCAAGGCCACTTTACCCGTTTCAAAGACTGCAGATAGACTATATTCAACTAGAAAAGCTACAATTTCTGGGGAAATTGTGTGAAGTGTTCTTGCCTCCACCAGTAGTCTACAACTGGAGTGGGCGGAGTAACTGTTATCATTTATATAGCACATTTAATTGCAACGTTGTTGCACAGTTACATTAAACCATACATTTATAACAACATTAGCAGGTGTTCAAAAGGCCCTGTCTATGACATCACTTGCTGCTGCAGCCTGGCACAGGTCAGAGTATTTTGGCGGTTGCCATCTTCAAACGGTCGTATCTTAAAAACTATAAATCCTACAGCAAAGAGCTTTATATTGTGAGAATCACAAGACCCATACCTACATTTTTTCAGTATGTCTCTGAAGTATTAAAAATGAAGGCACAGTCGCAGTTTAGAAATTGCCCTTCAAATTTGAGCTTTGTAGAGTGAAGTTTCAATGAATGTCAATGGAAGGCGTGAGTTGCAAACAAATGGTCACATTGTGAAATCTATCAGGACTATGGCTTAGCCGTGGACATTTCTAGTGGCAGCAGGTATAGCTGAACGTTTTGATATAAGATTTGTGTAGGTGGGCTTGAAAATGAGGTAGTGGTGGCAGTTTAGAAATCATGTCCTGATTTTTCAGCTTTTGCCAGCTCCCACTCTAGCTTTGCCATTCATTCCTATGGGACATATTTCGCCACAAGAACGACGATATTCCGTGAACCATTTGGCGAAACATTCCACAAAGTAATAGCAATCCGATCGGGAACAATCTGCACGTTTTGGTAAATTTTTGTCTATGTAGTGTAAAAACTGTGGGAGGAGTTAGGGTGGCAAATTTGGCTATAATAAGAATAAGAATATATATGTGAGATAACATTAAGTGGTCTTGCTATGCAAGAACACTTAACTACCTAAGGTAGGAGTGTATGAATATGTGTTGGTGTGCATTGATCTCTTTTCAGTTTGGCCTGAGGCCTACCCAGTGTCGAAAGCCACAACGAAGGTCACAGCAAGTAAGCTTCTGAAGGAACTGGTATGTAGATATGGAGTACCTGAAGTGATTGAAAGTGACAGAGGTAGCCATTTCACTGGGGAAATAATGCAAGAAATTATGAAAGCCTTAGGGATCAGTTAGGCCTTCCACACCCCCTATCACCCCCAGAGTAGTGGGAAAGTAGAAAGGGCAAATGGCACCTTAAAGAACAAGATTGCAAAAGCCATGCAAGACACAGGGAAGCCCTGGACTGAATGCCTTCCCCTAGCACTCTTTTCTATGAGATTCACCCCCAATTCCAGACATGGCCTATCCCCTTTTGAGATCCTGTTTGGATGTGCCCCAAAGACATTTTCCCCAGACCCTCCAGATGCAGCATGGTAGTTTGACTGCCTATGTTCAGGCCCTACACCAAAGATTAGGCAGGGTGAATAAACAAGTCTTTGATTCTATTCCAGATCCAGACTTACAAACTGCAGCCTGGTGATTGGGTGATGATAAAGAGGCATGTGAGGAAAGGACTTGAACCACGCTTTGACAGTCCATTACAAGTGCTCTTGACTATGGCTACCTCGGTGAAACTAGAAGGAAAAGCCATGTGGATACACGCCAGTCACTGTAAACAAGTCACTCCGACTGATCCACCGACATGAAGCTGTTCTTATCCTTTACCATTTTATGCTGTGTTCGCATATGCTACTCTGACTTGATACCCGAAAATAATAATGCATGGCAGGAAAATATATGGTTGCAGATAGCAAAGGCTTTTAATTTAACCTCCTTTTGCCTCAACCCTCTCCTCAGTACTGAAAATGCCATAGAATCTTGTCTTATAGCTGTCCCTACCCCCATCTCACTGTTGAGGAAGTACCTACATCAGGGGCGGACTGACCACTCGGGCACTTCGGTCATGGACCGAGGGCCCGAGGCAGTCAGGGGCCTGGCTGCACAGCCATGCTCTAGCTGGAGAGATCAGAGATCTCTCCAACTGGAACGGCAAAAAATTAAACTATTTAATTGATAGGTTGTGGGGCCCCTGATGCAGCGCGGGGCCCCACAACCTAACGCTCTGCAAGTCACCCCCCCATGAGACCTGGCAGCTTCACCTCCTCTCTGCCAGGTCTCCTTCTCCCTGTCCCACGCGGCTCTGTGTGATGGGAGAGGCGGGGCCAGGAAGTGACATCACTCCTGTACCTCCTCTCACATAGAGCCCAGTGAGTGGAAGGAGCAGCAGACAGGGAGACCAGAGGGAGCAGAGAGACAGGTAGGTACCCTCCCCCTCACTGTTACTAATCACCCCTCTCCACTGTCACTAGTCACCCCCTCACTGTCACTGACACTGTCACTAATCACCCCCACTGTCACTAATCACCCCCCTCACTGTCCTAATCACCCTCCCCCACTGTCACTAGTCACCCCCACTGTCACTAATCACCCCTCCCCACTGTCACTAGTCAGCCTCACTGTCACTAGTCGCCCCACTGTCACTAGTCGCCTCTCACTGTCACTAGTCACCCCACCTCACTGTCACTAGTCACCCCCCACAGTGTCTCTAGTTACCCCTCCTCACTGTGTCACTAGTCACCCCCCCACTGTGTCACTAGTAACCCCCTCCCTCACTCTGTCACTAGTCACCCCTTCCCTCACTCAGTCACTCCTTTCCTCCCTCACTTTGTCGCTAGTCACACCCTCCCTCACAGTGACAGAGGGAGGGGGTGACTAGTGACAGAGTGAGGGGATGACTGTGACGGAACGCTGGCACTCCGACTGAGTACCTCCGCCAATCGATGCTCCTAGTGCTCGCTGAGGACTCCAAGCACTCCAACCGACACCATCGGCACTGCAGACCCCACTTCCAGCGATGCAACTGCGCCGGGGTCTCTGCTGTTTCCACCCACCCTGGACCCAAGGCCAGGATCCAGCTTCCAGTGGGTGAACCTCTCTTTTCCCCAGAGAGCAGGAACAGGAACAAGCTCTTAGCAGAACTTAGCGATCATACACTGGGGAGTATAGTGATTATAGCAATCCCCAAAGTGTATTTCTTCAATCCCCCAAACATGAGCCAAGGCTTAATGCTGGAACAAGACTAATTTACTGGCACACAGAACTCACAATTTATGCAACACAAAACTCCTCCTCTGGGCCAGGCTAGATAATTGAATTTCTACAATACACAAAGCTCAATTATCTGCTGGCCAGAAATTATACAGTTTCATAAAACACACAGGGACCCCAAAACATGCAATAACCCCATAAAAAGTATATCCTTGGAACCGGGGGATCTGGGTGAACCACATATCCAAAATTCACCCAGATCCGTTCAGTACTTTGGAAGATACAGTTTAATGCAGATTCTGCAGAACATATACAGGCTAAATGAAAAACAATCACTGTATAATGTGTCCCCTGCTGTATAGTCCAAAACCACCGCACAATGTCCCTGTGCAACAAATACTGACGAGATGGCACCGTGTTGAAAAGTCCAAACAGTGTCTGTGAGTTATAATGGCCGCCATCCATTGTTCTCACCATGTGCTTCTGATACAGGAAATGGTGGCCACCCAGTAACTCCACAGTATGTCCCCAGATCGTTCTTAAAGGGCCAGCAGCAGCACAACACAAATCCATTATGCCCAAATCATGTCTTTAAAGGGCAATACAAACCAGGGGCCATAGTCACAGGGCAAGAGGCGGGCAGGCAGTCCTCTCCAGGCACAAGTGGCGAAGGGCACTTCGTCACAATGACTAATGACAGAGTTAGGGAGGGAGTGACTAGTGACAGAGGGAGGGATGGGGTGACTAGTGACAGTCACCACCTCCCTCACTCTGTCACTAGTCACCATCTCCCTCCCTCTGTCACTAGTCACTCTCTCCCTCATTCTGTCACTAGTCACACCCTCACTCTAGTGACAGAGTTAGGAAGGGGGTGACTAGTGACAGAGGGAGGGGTGACTAGGGACAGAGTGAGGGAGGTGGTGACTAGTGACAGTCACCCCCTCCCTCACTCTGTCACCAGTCATCCCCTCACTCTGTCACTAGTCACCCCTTCCTTCCTTCACTCTGTCACTAGTCTCCCCATCCCTCACTGTCAACCCCTCACTCTGTCACTAGTCACCCCCTCACTCTAGTGACAGAGAGAGGGAGGGTGTTACTAGTGACAGAGAGAGGGAGGGGGTGACTAGTGACAGAGTGAGGGAGGAAAGGAGTGACTAGTGAGGGAGGTGGTGATTAGTGACAGAGGGAGGGATGGCGTGACTAGGGGGTCACTGTGTCACCCCCTCCTTCACTCTGTCACTGTGTGACCCCCTTCCTCACTCTGTCACTAGTCACCCCTTCCTTCTCTCACTCTGCCACTAGTCAACCCTTGCCTCACTCTGTCACCTGTCACCCCCTCACTCTGTCACTAGTCACCCCCTCACTCTAGTGAGGGACGGTGTGACTAGTGACAGAGAGATGGAGGGGGTGACTAGTGACAGAGAGAGGGAGGGAGTGACTAGTGACAGAGGGAGGGATGAGGTGACTAGTGACAGTCACCACCTCCTTCACTCTGTCATTGTGTCACCCCCTTCCTCACTCTGTCACTAGTCACCCACTCCCTCCCTCCCTCTGTCACTAGTCACCCCCTCTCTCACTCTGTCACTAGTCATCCACTTCCTTACTGTCACTAGTCCGCCCTCCCTCACTCTGTCACTAGAGTGAGGGGGTGACTAGTGACAGAGTGAGGGGGTGACTAGTGACAGAGTGAGGGTGTGACAGGTGACAGAGGGAGGGGATGACTGGTGACCGAGTGAGGGAGGGGGTGACTAGTGACAGAGTAAGGGACGGAGGGGGTGACTAGTGACAGAAGGAGGGGGGAGTAGTGACGGAGGGGGAAGTAGTGACAGAGTGAGGGAGGTGGTGACTAGTGACAGAGTGAGGGAGGTAGTGACTAGTGACAGTCACCACCTCCCTCACTCTGTCACTAGTCACCCCTTCCTTCCCTCACTCTGCCACTAGTCACCCCCTCACTCTAGTGACAGAGTGAGGGAGGGGGTGACTAGTGACAGAGTTAGGGAGGGAAGGGGGTGACTAGTGACAGAGGGAGGGGTGACTAGGGACAGAGGGAGGGAGGTGGTGACTAGTGACAGTCACCCCCTCCCTCACTCTGTCACTAGTCACCCCCTCCCTCACTCTGTCACTAGTCACTCCCTCCCTCTGTCACTGGTCACCCACTCCCTCCCTCACTCTGTCACCAGTCATCCCCTCACTCTGTCACTAGTAACCCCTTCCTTCCCTCACTCTGTCACTAGTCACCCCCCTCACTCTAGTGACAGAGTGAGGGAGGGTGTGACTAGTGACAGTGAGGAAGGGTGTGACTAGTGACAGTGAGGGAGGGGGGGTGACTAGTGACAGAGAGAGGGAGGGAAGGGGTGACTAGTGACAGAGTGAGGGAGGCGGTGATTAGTGACAGAGGGAGGGATGGGGTGACTAGTGACAGAGAGAGTGATGGGGTGACTAGGGACAGAGGGGGTGACTAGTGACAGAGTGAGGGAGCGGGTGACACAGTGACAGAGTTAGGGAGGGAGTGACTAGTGACAGAGAGAGGGATGAGGTGACTAGGGACAGAGGGGGTGATTAGTGACAGTGAGTGAGCGGGTGACTAGTGACAGAGTGAGGGAGGGAGTAACTAGTGACAGAGAGAGGGATGGGGTGACTAGTGACAGTCACCCCCTCCCTCTGTCACTAGTCACTCCCTCCCTCTGTCAATAGTCACTCCCTCCCTCTGTCACCAGTCATCCCCTCCCTCTGTCACCAGTCATCCCCTCCCTCTGTCACTAGTCACCTCTTCCCTCCCTCACTTTGCCACTAGTCATCTCTTCCCTCTCTCCCCCACTCTGCCACTAGTCACGCATTCCCTAACTCTGTCACTAGTCACCCCCTCTCCTTCCCTCTGTCACTAGTCACCCCCACTCACTGTGTCTCCCCCTCACTCTGCCACCACTCAACCCCTCCTTCCCTCACTCTGCCACCAGGTACACCCTCACTCTGCCACCTGTCACAACCTCCCACACTCTTTCACCTGTCACCTTCTCCCTCACACACTCGGTCACCTGTCACATATGCACAGAGACACTATATACAAAAAAGCACATGTAGTCATCCAGACATGCACAAGTGCATTCACACAGACTCAAATACAAACATGCATTGATACACATGTCTTGACAATATACACATCCAAAGGAATGCCGTATTATGAGTTATATTTAACATTTATTTAATGCACGTATATTTGGCTTTCAAAGGGCCTGGGATCTAATTTTGCCCGGGGGCCCCAAAGGCTCTCAGTCCGCCCCTGACCTACATACCTATAGACCCCATAAATCTCTACAACTATATTCTTATGCCTTCAACCCACTGGTAGGCAAGTCTCCTCTAGCCCTGAAGACAATTAATGTAACAGGCGCTGAACTATGTTGGTCTTTGTAACAGAACGATGCTGTATGCCTGGGCCAGTGAACTAACCAAAATCAGCAGGAATTCGTCACATTTAATGCATTTCAACCATTCGAATGGATTCGCATGAATCCCCTGTGTAAAGTATAGGTGGCCGCCATTTCGGGACTTTACACGTGGCCGCGGCCATCTTACGTGCGAACAGCGGTGTTTGCCTGTCGACGCGTGGAACTAAAATCAGATACGCAAACAGGCGAACACCGCTGAGTCCTCCATACTTCGTACGGAAACTACCGAATCACCGGACGTTCGGTAGTTATGTTCAATCATCTATGGGGATTGCGGCGAACCCCGAGATTCGAATGGATGGCAAGAATTTCATACCTTTTTACCAGGCGAACGGAGACCGACCGCAAGGCCAAAACTCATGGAACTATTTTCGGCTAGTTGGTCTGTGCGGACGGTCAAAACTTTGGAACTCTGTATCTCCCGAACTATTCATCCGAATGGGCTGATTTTTGGACATGTTGGTCCCCTGAATGAGAGCTATCAAGCGACCCCGGATTTAAAGCTGTACCCCCTGTTTTGGGGAACATCCAGAACTGGGGTAAAATGTTGTACGTTTTAATTATGTTATATGTTATCTGAGGGGAGGAGACGTGGGGGTGTTACCAGGTATATGACTGGGTGTTTTTATCCTCCCCCTGGGAGTATCCTGTGTGTACCTGATCCCAATAAAAGCAGGCTGGGTGTTCCAGTCCTCAGATCTTCTTGACCCTGCAAAACGTAGCCTTGTCTCGTTCTTGGAAGGGGATTATTTGGGAATGTTATTCTGCTCCTGTTACAGCTGAACCTGACTCTTACTCTGGATATCGTGGATGGGATTATACCAGCTTACTTCTCCACAGCAGCTTACAGGGAAAAAGGACGTCTCCAACGGCAGATATCCTCACTCTACACGGGTAGCCGTTACAGTCTTTTTCATGTAATTGTTCAAGAGACCCTAATACTGAATCCCTGTTTTGCCCCACATGGTGGAAAAATACCACGAATTGTAGAGCCCTGAGCACCACTATGAATTGTACCAAAACTCACCAAGTGATGAGTTACCACTACAATGTCTATGTTCCTAAAAGATTAACTTTCTCTGTGGAAATATTACTTATGCTTATGTCCCAGGTAACATTACAGGAGGTCCCTGTGCAATCTCTCGCCTAACCATGACCATGTTTTCCAAATCTGACTTGATCACTAGAACCACCCAGCTACACAAACTGCTGAGAGACAGGAGAGATGTTAAAAACACCCTTATTGGACATTTGGGCTAGGAACATGGTTGACTTTACTAATTAAGAAGATTTTGTACTTTTTGCTATTAGCGGTTTTTGTCATTATGGCTATTTTTGTAAACTTTAGATTTTTTTCATGTCTACTAACCTCTCTCTGTAAAAGCAAACCTACTATTGGTCGTACCTTAACTTACATTCCAGCTCCGACTTCGAAAAGGTTTTATGATTGTAACGGATCGCCTGGCACCCCGACTTGGTACCTCCGTTGAAGGATGCTCCTAGCGCTTCCTGAGGACTCAAAGCACTCTGGCAGACACCCCAATCACCGAACCGGAGAAACAAATAAATTCTCCCAAGCATATGAATGCTGTAGACAGTTGAATAGGAACCATACGAATAGGTTTACTCTCCTAGCAGTCAAACTGGAACAGCATACAATTAAATCCTCCCCCAATAATGAGACAACACTTCACTTTGAGGGTTAAGCAGGAACTCCCTGTACTGTCACATACAGTCTCTTTTATTCCCAATCCACAAACATAGTACAGCCCACAGGGCGTTACAAAACCACCAATCACATCACAGTTACATCCCACATATTCCCTCCCCTTATCCTGAGAGGAAACTCAATTATACATACAGTTAAAACACACTTTCTACCCAACTTTCATAACTCTAAAACCATACATCACATTCACATAAAATTACATATGCACAATCAATCCATTCAGGGGAACAACATATTCAAAATGGCACAAATCAGACAAGGGGTTCAAAAGTTAGTAAAAAGTCCTTTGTGACTAAATGAAGCATGGCTTTCTGGCCCAAACCAGTTTCAGAGTCTTCTATCCTGGAGATAAGTAATTCAATTATCTCCCAGGACAGACACAAGACTCCATTAAGCACATGGTTGCAAAAGACACAAAACACTTTAAAATACATAAAGTCACATTTACACATAACACACAGACATTTCACATATCCCCAGATATCTGGGATCTGAGTGCACATTATTAGATGAATGGCACTCAGATCACACAAATAAGCCTTTCTGCAGGGGAAATAAACGGTTTAACCTGCAGGGCCATAGTCCAAAGGGAGCAGGCGAGCAACCAGGCTTCTCCAGTTCACAGTGGCGAGGTTGGTTTCGCCACAATGATGTTACCTCGCCTAACAAATGAAGGAACTCTCCTCCGCTGATTCTGGTGGTCTCTCAGTCCAAGGAAACCGTGGTGAAACAATAAATGAAAGTCCCACAGGCTTTGGCTAGCAGGCCTGGATATACCTTGGACATTTGGGTGACCCTTGGATCAAAAGAGGGGATTGTGATAGAATTTATCTTGATTCCAAGGCTCAAGCTTATAGGTGTCATATAATGATATCCTATATTAAAATTGGCTAACTTGGATTCAGGAAATGCTTGATGCTTAAACAACACTTAAGACCATATATGTCTAAGTTCCGAGAGCAGAGAGCCCCTGTAACGGACCGTTTTGCACACAAGGGGTAAAAACCGTTTAGGCGATCATCCCCCTTTCCAGTGATGCAGGCACAGCTACTGCAGAACACCAAACTCCCGAACTGGATACAAAATAGCACTCCAACTCCCGAACTGGAACCTCCCAAATAGCTGCTAGCAGACGAACAGGAAAAGCAGACAATCAGCTTACACTTCTGGCAATCAGTCTCTAACAGCATACAGTGAATCCCCCCAAGAACGAGACAAGGCTCCGTGTTGAGGGTCAAGCAGTGGTCTGAGGTGCTGGCACGCCCAGCCTGGTTTTTATTACAGTCTTTTCAAATACAGGACCGCCCACAGGGAGGTATAAAACAACCAATCACATATCAGTTACATCCTACATATTCCCCTCCCCTTATCCTGAGAGGAAACTCAATTACACATACAGTTAAAACATACTTTAAACCCAACTTTCATAACTCTAAAACCATACATCACATTCATATAAAATTACATATTCACAATCAATCCATTCAGGGGAACAACATATTAAAAAATGGCATGAATCAGATCAGGGGTTCAAAAGTTAGTAAAAGTATCTTTTGGGCCCTGACTGGCAAATGGATATCTGGCTCAAATAGGTTTTACAGAGCCCTCTATCCTGGAGACAATGGGGAAAGTAATCAAATTATCCAGGGATAGAGGCAGACTCCATTGAGCACATGGTTGCAAAAAGACATAAAACACTTTAAAATACATAAAGTCACCTTTTACACATAACACACAGACATTTCACATATCCCCAGATAGCTGGGATCTGAGTGCACAAAACTACCGAATAGCGCTCAGATCCTATTCACACAGTTCAATTGCCATGGAGCCGAAGTCTTTAACTACACGAATGGGCTCCATGGCATAGCTATCTGGGTTACATAAAGTCTGGTCCATAGTCCAAAGGCAGCAGGCGGGCAGCCAGGCTTCTCCAACGCAATATGGCGAGATTGCTCTCGTCACAGCCCCCACCTAAGATGTCTCTGCTCTAATCATTTTGTTCTCTCTTACCTTGAAACTTATTTGTTATGTGTACATGACGCTCATCCCTATGTCTTATCTGTACTCCCTTCCTATTACTGTTCTAAGAGTATTTGCACGTAACCACTTACTTTTTAATGTATAAAACCCAGCTGATGAATAAAACGTCAGAGGCTTATTTTGAATACCAACAGGTGTCTGGTGTCTAATTCTCGCTTCTTCAAGTGCACTTGTAACAACAATTTGGGCTTCCTCTGAATATAATCAAGATCAACATTTCTGATCCACAACAATTCACACAAACACAGTGTAGCGGATGGCACTGGGCTGTCCTGGGAATTGCATAGGGTTTAACTGCATTCGTGTAAATGGCAGGTTATATGTGTATAAATGTATTGTATTCGTCTGATTGTTCTGTAGAATCATTCTAACAAGTAAGGGAATGAAACTACCGAACAGTCAGACCTCCCCGGTGTGAAGTGTGCCTTCAATTACCGTTTGCAACATTGTAGCGAATGGGTAATTGACAAGCTGGGCAGTAAGTCCTTTGTTCTCGGGGGTGGCCGCCATTCGGGAAATGAACACGTGGCGGCGGCCATTTTAAAACTCCCGAACAGCAGTGTTTTGCCGTTGAGTGTCTGGAACCCAAA